CTCCCGCAACACCTGATAGTGCGACTCGCTCACAGTGGCTTACTCGCGACGCTGCTGCCCGCTTAGCCATTCGCAACCACCTGCCGTTAGCCGAATGCGCTCACTTCAGACAGCACAGGACTGCACAGGCACTGTACAACGCAGTCGTCACTCACTACTCCTCGCCTGCCACTGCTGCTCTAGGCCGCCTACTTCTGCCCTACCTGTTCCCCGAGCTGTCTGCCTTTGCCACGGTAGAGGACCTTGTTCCCACCTCCGCACTAGCGACGCTCGCTACCGCGCTACCGTCCCTGCTGAGTTCCTTGACAGGAACCAGCCCCCGATGTTCATCACTCTCTACTTCATAGTCACCCACCTCCCTTACTCTCTTCGCTCTGTCAGGGACCACTTTCTCTCACTTGACCCCACCTCCCTCACTGTTGACCTACTCGAGCAGCACCTCCTTGCAGTTGAGACTAGTGCAGTTGCTGTAGGTGCTGCTCGTGGCACGCCGCGCCCGCCCTTCTTTGAGGGATGCTCCCCCTCCACCCTTGCCCCCTCCTACACCTCTGCTGCTGCTGCAGACGTCCTTGGTGTTGAGGACGTCGGAGCTGCTTCTGCTAGTGCAAACTGGGGACTGAGAGCGAGTGGCTGGTAGACAGAGGAGTGGGCTGTGGCGAGGAGAAGTGGAAACTGAAGCGCTGAAGGACCTAGTGCACCATGTGTGACCGAGTCAGGGTGATGGTGCGCCGTGCTCTGTCCCGGGTGATCTGCAAGCCAAGATAGCCGCGCAGTTCACCCAGGTCAGTGCAGGTGTGTCTCTTCCGAAGCTCCGAATTCACAAGGGTCAGTGCCTCAGTGTCAGCAATGACAAAGACGAGGTCGTCAACGTACACGAGGACGTAGAATGGCGGCAGCGAGGTGTTGGTGAGTAGAAACAGCGACGGGTCAGCAGTAGCAGGAGCAAACCCAAGAGCCGCAAGTGTAGTCCTCAGTGTGTCGTGCCACTCGCGAGGCGCCTGGCGGAGACCGTAGACTGGCCGCCGAAGACTCCACTAACTACCTGCAGGAAAAGACTCAGTGAAACCAGGTGGGCGGCGCAGCCAGATCTCCTCGTGCAGGCTGCCCTGCAGGAAAGCTGTGCTGAAGTCCAGACAGTGCAACTCGTAGTCACGCTGAGCAGCGACGTGCTGCAACACCCGAAGTGTAGTCATCTTCGGGGTGGGGGAGAAGGTATGGAAGTAGTCAACTCCTTGTCGCTGATTGAAGCCTCGAGCAACGTAACGCGCATTGAAGGCAGGCGGAGAACCCGGCGGCTGCTTCACCCTGAAAAATCCACATGCCCTCGACTATGTTCGCCCCAGGTGGGGGAACCTCGTCGACATAGGCGCCTGTGGACTTTCAGGATGCCATCTCGGCATCCATGGCTGCCTGCCACTGAGAGGAGTAAGGACCCGTAATCGCCTCTGCGTAAGAGCGCGGGGTCGGGATGTCTGGAGCATCCAGGTCTCCCTCAGGGGCAAGCAGCATGGAAGCGAAACGAGGTACAGCAGCTGCAAGACACCCAATGTCTTCGTGCCTGTCCTCAAGGACGTCCGTGCCAAGAGCACACTCACCCCTGACAGACGGAGGACTGGGAGACGCTGACTCAGCAACGAGAGTAGTGGTGTAGTCTAGACGGAAGGCAGTAGCAAAGTCAAGCAGCTCAGCAACGAGAGCAGACGCAGCAACAGACTCAAAGGAAGGGTCAGTCACAGCAGTGGTGAGGAGACGAGAGGCAGTGGGACTGGCAGCACGAGGGCGGTCAGACTCAGGGTCAGGGACCTCTGGAAGAGAGGACTCAGGAGGAGCAGGCAGAGGATGTGAGAATAGTAGGCGAGAATGATCGACTAGGAAAAGGGAAGGGGTACAAGTAGAATGTCGAGAGAAATTCTGTACCCCCTAAGGCTAAACCCACTATAGCCTAGACAACTGTAAACACATAAACTAAGCCTAGATATAACTAAGCATATATGTTTGACACACCCCCATAGGCGAAGTGGGGGATAGCCAGAACAAGCAATGGTCACAAGACCAGTGAAGAGAAGAAGCAAAGCAAAACAAGCTCAGGGTGGATCACAAAGTCACCACACAGTCCGAGCACAAGCAAAGGGCCACAAGGCCAGTTCACATGCAGAGTAATATAAAGAGAACAAACAATACAGTGATCATACCCTAACAAGTGCAAACATGCAGGTATATAGATAGATCACAGTACAGGCAGAGTCAGGCAGTAAGTAAGTGAGGCAAAGTAGGCACAAGGCCTAACACAGTAACAAAGTGCTGATGGTCAGCAGGCGGAAGTGCCTTGGTGAAGACATCAGCAGTGTTGGCCCGAGTGGCCACGTACGCTAGACGAAGCTGACCACGCTGCTGCAACTCTCGAGCAAGGAAGTATCGCAGAGCGATGTGCTTCGTTCTGTGCTCCAGTCTGTGCTCCTGACAAAAGGCTATCATGGCCTTGTTGTCTACATACAGGATTGGAGGCGAACGAGGCTGCTCTCCCAAGTCTGTCAGCAAGTAGGTGAGCCAGCGTAGCTCCTGAGCAGCCATGGCTCCGGCGTAGATCTCAGCCTCACAGCTGGAGCTGAGAACTGAAGACGAGCGGGTAGACCGCAAAGAAACAGAGCCGGACCCAAGGCTGAAGGTGTAACCCTGCGACGACCGCTGCGTAGCTGAGTCGTCAACCCAGGAGGCGTCTGCGTGACCAGTGAGGACAATAGGACCCCGTCCTCCAAGCACAAGCCCCATGCCCGACGTACTGCACAAGTAACGCAGTACCCTCTTCGCAGCATCCCAGTGCACCTTTCGGTGCCTACCGGGAGCCACGTAGCGAGCCAGAAGGCTGAGAGGGTACGCGAGGTCAGGTCGAGTGCAAGTCATCAGGTACATGAGGCAACCCACAAGCTCTGGGTACGGACCACTCGGCTCTACGGACTCGTCCGAAGGTGGAGCTGAGAGCGAGTGGCTGGTAGACAGAGGAGTGAGCTGTGGCGAGGAGTACTGGAAGCCGAAGCGCTGAAGGACCTGGTGCACCATGTGTGACTGAGTCAGTGTGATGGTGCGCCGTGCTCTGTCCCGGGTGATCTGCAGGCCAAGGTAGCTGCGCAGTTCACCCAGGTCAGTGCAGGTATGTCTCTTCTGCAGCTCGGACTTCACTAGGGTCAGTGCCTCAGTGTCACCCGTGGCAAAGACGAGGTCGTCGACGTACACTAGGACGTAGAAGGGCGGCAGCGAGGTGCCGGTGCGTAGAAACAGCGACGGGTCTGCTGTAGAAGGAACAAACCCAAGAGCCGCAAGTGTAGTCCTGAGTGTGTCGTGCCACTCGCGAGGCGCCTGGCGGAGACCGTAGACTGGCCGGCGGAGGCTCGATTGGGTACCTGTAGGAAACGACCCAGTGAAACCAGGTGGTCGGCGCAGCCAGATCTCCTCATGCAGGCTGCCCTGCAGGAAAGCAGTACTGAAGTCCAGGGAGTGTAACTCGTAGTCACGCTGAGCAGCTACGTGCAGCAACACCCGAAGAGTAGTCATCTTCGGGGTGGGGGAGAAGGTCTGGAAGTAGTCAACTCCCTGTCGCTGACTGAAACCTCGAGCAACGTAGCGTGCCTTGAAGGCAGGCGGAGAACCCGACGGCCGCTTCACCCTGAAGATCCACATGCCATCGACTATGTTTGCCCCAGGTGGGGGAACCTTGTCGACGTAAGTGCCTGTGGACTTCCAGGATGCCATCTCGGCATCCATTGCTGCCTGCCACTGAGAGGAGTAAGGACCCGTAATCGCCTCTGCGTAAGAGCGTGGGGTCGGGATGTCAGGAGCATCCGGGTCTCCCTCAGGGGCAAGCAGCAAGGAGGCGAAATGAGGTACGGCAGCTGCAAGACACTCAAAGTCCTCCTGCCTGTCCTCAAGGACGTCCGTGCCAAGAGCACACTCACCCCCGACGGACGGAGGGCTGGCAGGCACAGACTCAGCAAGTAGAGCAGAGGCGTAGTCGAGACGGCAGGCAGCAGCAAAGTCAAGTAGCTCAGCAACGAGAGCAGAAGCAGCAGCAGACTCAAAGGACAGGTCAGTGACAGCAGTGGCAAGGAGACGAGCGACAGTGGGACTGGCAGCACGCGCTCGTTCAGACTCAGGGTCAGGGACCGCAGGAAGAGAGGACTTAGGAGGAGCAGGCAGAGGAACACGCAGTGGAAGAGAGGAAGGACGAAGTGCCATGGTGTGTGTGCCTGGGACAGGAGGAGGACGCGAACGAGGAGCACGACGAGCAGTGCGAACAGGCGAGACAGGACGAGACGCAGGCTCACGACGCTCTGTAAGACCTCCGGACTGCTCAGTGTAAGGAGAGGGAACAGGCAGTGGGGAGGCTGGCTCTAACGGCGGCTGCGACTGGTCAGGCGGTGGACACAGGAAGGGAGGAGGAAGACCAGTAGAAGACGGGACACCAAGAACCTGCTGAAGCAGGGGAACGAAGTACGGACGTGGCCGCACAGTGCCTCCAGCACCTCCTGCACCAGGGTCAACATCTCCAGCTCCTGCACCTCCAGCGCCTCATGCGCCAGGGCCTCCAACTCCAGCTGTAACAGCAGTACCTCCAGCTCCAGCGCCTCCAGGCTCGCCAGCTCCGGGAGCCCCACTCCGACGGTGTGCGCGCTGAACAAGCCACTCACGCAGCTGCTGCGAGGACAGTCGCAGTGAAGCACCAGCAGGACCTCCAGACGAAGCAGCACCCCGAGGCTCAGCACCCCCAGACTCCACACCCTCCGACTCAGCACCCTCAGGCTCCGCACCCTCCGACCAGGGCTCTTGCTAACTTTTAGGCCCGTCTGACGTTTTCCAAGAAAAACAAAAATTCGTCTGGCCCTCATATGGAGGATTCCTGGTGGTCTTTGCCTCAGACGGATTTTATAAGTTAGTATGTCGGCTCAGACAGATTTTCACGAAATCAGACATTTATTTAGTTATTTAGTCTACACACAGACTAGACTCTACTCTACTCTCACACACACCCACCCCCCTCAGCGGCAGCTGCAGCAGTGGGAGACGGAGTAGGAGGAGGAGCAGGGGATGCCACACACCCGCCACCCCCATACCCTCCCCCACTGCTGCACCTGCAGCAGGGGATGGAGGAGAAGGGGGGGGGGGGGGGGGGGGGGGGGGGGGGGAGGGGGTGCTGTGCATGGCGCGTGCAGAGGGCAGCAGGGCGCACGGGGCGCACAGGGCAGCAGGGCGCGCGGGGCGCACAGGGCTGCAGGGCGCGCGGGGCGCACAGGGCAGCAGGGCAGCAGGGCGCACGGGGCGCACAGGGCAGCAGGGCGCGCGGGGCGCAGCAGGGCTGGCGGGTTGGCCACACCCGCCACCCCCATACCCTCCCCCACTGCTGCACCCGCAGCAGAGAGATGGGGGGGGGGCGGGGGGGGCAGGCAGGTGCTGCAGGTCCCCTCCCCCCACTGCCGCATCCGCACCAGGGGGATGGCAGATCCCCTCCCCCCCACTGCTGCACCCGCAGCAGGGGGAGGGAGAGGAGAAAAGGGCGGAGAGGAGGGGGGGGGGGCTGGTGCTGCAGGTCCCCTCCCCCAACTGCCGCAACCGCAGCAGGGGGATGGCAAATCCCCTCCCCCCCACTGCTGTACCCGCAGCAGGGGGGGGGGGGGGGGGGGGGGGTGCTGTGCATGGCGCGTGCAGAGGGCAGCAGGGCGCACGGGGCGCACAGGGCAGCAGGGGCGGCTGCTCCAGGGGCGGCTGCACCAGGGGCGGCTGCACCAGGGGCGGCTGCTCCAGGGGCGGCTGCAGAGGTCCAGGGGCGGCTGCTCCAGGGGCGGCTGCACCAGGGGCGGCTGCTCCAGGGGCTGCTGCACCAGGGGCGGCTGCTCCAGGGGCGGCTGCACCAGGGGCGGCTGCACCAGGGGCGGCTGCTCCAGGGGCGGCTGCACCAGGGGCGGCTGCTCCGACGCGTGCCCCCCCCCCCCCAGGTCGCCCCTCCCGTCGCCTGTTGAGGCGACCTGAGGTGGGGGGGAGTACGGGGGTCGACGCGCGGCCTCCCAGGGAACCAGAGCAGGCGGAAGAAGGGGCGACGCGCGCCCCCCAAGGTCGCGCCCCCCCCCCCCCCGGGTCGCCACGTAAGGTGACGGGAAAAGGGGGGGGGGGGCGGTGCACGGGCCCCTGGTGCGCCACGACCGACATGAGGGCGGGGCCTGGGTCGGGGCAGGTTCGGGACAGGGCCGGGACGGGGCCGAGGAAGGGCTGGGGCGGGCCGCGAAGGGGCCTAACGGGCCGCAAAGGGGCCGCGACAAGCCGCGACGGGGCCTAACGGGCCGAGAAAGGGGCCGGGGAAGGGCCTGGGCGGGCCGCGAAGGGGCCTAACGGGCCGCGAAGGGGCCGCGACAAGCCGCGACGGGGCCTAACGGGCCGAGAAAGGGGGGGCCGCGATGGACCTAACGGGCCGCGACAGAGTCGGGGCAGGGCCGGGGTCGGGGCAGGTCCGGGACAGGGCCGGGACGGGGCCGAGGAAGGGCCGGGGCGGGCCGCGAAGGGGCCTAACGGGCCGCGAACGGGGCCTGACGGGGCCTTACGGGGCCTGACGGGGCCGAACGGGGCCGCAAACAGGGCCTGACGGGGCCGCAAACGGGGCCTGACGGGGCCTTACGGGGCCTGACGGGGCCGCAAACGGGGCCTGACGGGGCCGCGAAGGGCCTCACTAGGGGCCGCGAAGGGGCCTTACGAGGGGGCCGAGAAAGGGGCCTTACGAGGGGGCCGCAAAGGGGCCTAACGAGGGGCCGCGAAGGGGCCTAACGAGGGGCCGCGAAGGGCCTTACGAGGGGCCGCGAAGGGCCGTTAAGGGCAGGCGCGACGCGCGCCTAGGGTAGGAAATATTTCAGTGGTGGGCCCAAGGATCGAAAAACAGCTCTATACCATGTGAGAATGATTGACGAAAGAATTGAGTGAGGATGAATGCACTAGAAAGCATTGGGATACATATAGCAAACCCTAACAGGGTTGTACTCACTACAGAATACCCCACTGCAGACTAGAGAAACATAATATTCTGACAGCAGCACCCCCAGACACAGCACCTGGAGCAGCACCTGAGACGACAGCTACCTGAACAGGCGCAGTACCAGGGAGAGTGTCTACCTGAGACACTCCCGAGGGAGCAGGACCCTGGGGCGGGAGGGGGTCTGCCGGAGGCGGACCGGGAGCAAGGAAGAGCGGCGGGGGCGGGGAAGGGGAAGAGCGGTAGGGGAAGAAACGGTAGAAGGGAACCGACTCGTCAAACGTGACGTCCTGAGAAGGGAGGACACGGCGCGAGGTGGGGTGGTAAAACTGCCAGCCAGGCGCATCAGGGACAAAGCCAAGGAAGACGCAGGGAATAGCGCGGGCAGAGAGCTTGTCCGCGGACGTATCGCGAACAAAGGCACGAGAACCCCAGACCCGGAACACCGACGCATCGCCAACCTTCCCCGTCCCACGCAGTGTGGGCGAGGTCTCCGGCAAGGAGACACGGGGCCAAAGGTTGAGCTGATGCGCAGCGTACCGGACCGCAAACGGCCACAGAAAATGGGGAGCGGCCGCATGAATCATGGAGGTACGAGCGACCTCCATGACTAAGCCAATGCGGCGCTCAGCAATCCCATTTTGCTGAGGGGAGTCCGGAAGCGTGAAAGACTGGGTGATGCCCTCCCCACGACAAAAGTCCCGCAAGAGGTCGGAGGAGAACTCACCACCTCTGTCAGAGTGCAGACGCAGGACAGGAAGGTCCTGGCCGAAACGCTCACGCAGCTGGAGACGGACTGTGCGGATCCAAGGGATCAAGACAGCAGAGACTTCACTCTTGCTGCGCAAGGGGAAGACTGTGGTGTATCGCGTGTAGTCGTCAACTACCAGCAGAAAGTAGCGCTCGCGGCCCTGTCCACTGACGCGGGCTGGGCCCCACACGTCCATGTGGAGGGTCTGCAGGGGAGCAGTCGTCGGGGGAAACGAGGAGGAGTGAGGAGCGGCGCGCTGCCGTCCCTCGACGCAAGGAAGACAGGGCGGGGCAGGCGAGGGCGGCAGGGGAGGCAGAGACCTGGGGAGACCAGAGACAAGGAGACGGGAGTGCATGCCACGAAGGCGTGGCAGGGAGGGGTGACCCAGGCGGTGGTGCCAAAGAAGAGTCTGGTGCGACAGGAGGCGACACGAGCAAGAGGCGGCTACCTGACCTGACGCGGAGACCTGAGCAGACGCAGCGACCTGAGGAGGCTCGGTAGCCAGTGTGTACAGACTCGACCCTGGCCGACGAGTGAACGTAGCCAGGTGACGCCCCGTCCGCGTGCACGTGCAGATCGACACACGCTGACCCCCAGGAGTGGTGGTAGTGACCATCGCATCCTGAAGGGCAGCGGTACTCACCAAGTTCGTAGAGAACGAGGGGAGGTGAAGACCTGACAGTGAGCCGGACGGAACCGCCGGACACGGGAGGACAGTGGAGGAACTGGCAACGACCGGGCCCCCAGAGGGATCAGCCAGTCTGACCGGAACAGGTGCAGGAAGAGGAGTGAGAGTGGTGCTGTCACGAAAGAAACAGCGCGAGGCGCCGGAGTCTAACGTGAAGGTGTGCAGGGCCTCAGCAGGCGCAGTACCAGGGGGAGTACCAGACGCACTAGCACCTAGAGCAGCAGCAGCTATACCTGGGTCAGGCGGCACACACCAGTAACAGTCACCCTCAGCACTAAAAGACAAAGCAAACATGGCAGAGATAATAACATCAAAGTCTAGGTCAAAGATGGCAACTCCCGACCCAAGCAACTCCGCCCAGCGAGGGCGCTCGACGTCATCACCAAACTCAGTGCGCAAGGCGTCGTCAAGGCGGGCAAAGCAGCAGCGCTCAGTGTGAAACCGCCCGCATGTCTTGCCCGCACGGGCACCCGTGCGGATGACATGTGAGCAGGTCTCACTACCCTCGCTCGCCCCACGCTGAACCAACCACTCACGGAGCTGCTGAGGCGTCTGAGTCTCGCTCCGACGCTGCTGCTGCTGGCCCCGACCGCCACCAGGGCCTCCACGCTGAGGTCCAAACCGACCACCACTGGTCCCACCGCCTCCACTGCCGCCACCCCCTCCGCTGCCTCCACCGCCGCCACCAGAGCCTCCACCTCCGCCACCGGTCCCACCGCCGCCACCACCTCCACCGCCTCCGCCTCCTCTACCGCTGCCCCCACTGCCACGCCCACTGCCACCTCCACCACCACCGCTGCCTCCTCCACTACCCCGGCCACCCTTGCCCTTGCTGTTGCGGCGCTTCGTACTAGTCGAAGCAGCAACGACGTCCTCAGGAACAGAGACGTCTGCAGCAGCAGCAGAGGCGAAGGAGGAGGAAAGGGGGGAGGGGGAGCACCCCTCAAAGAAGGGTGAGCGCGGGGTGCCACAAGCAGCACCTACAGCAACTGCACTAGTCTCAGCTGCGAGGAGATGCTGCTCGAGGAGGTCAACAGTGAGGGAAGTGGGGTCGAGGGTGAGGAAGTGGTCCCTGACAGAGCGAAGGGAGTCAGGGAGGCGAGTGACTATGAAGTAGAGGGTGATGAACATGGGGGGCTAGTTCGTGGGAAGGAACTCAGCAGGAACGGTAGCGCGGTAGCGAGCGTCGCTAGTGCGCAGGTGGGTAACCAGGTCCGCTACTGTGGCAAAAGCCGACAGCTCAGGGAACAGGTAGGGCAGTAGCAGTCTGCCAAGAGCAGCAGTGGCAGGGGAGGAGTAGCGAGCAACGACAGCGTCGTACAAGGCCTGTGCTGTCCTGTGCTCGCCAAAGTGAGCACATTCTGTTGCGGGCAGGTGGTTGCGAATGGCCAAGCGGGCAGTAGCGTCACGAGACAGCCACTGGGAACGAGTCGAAACGTCAGCTGTGGCGGGAGGGGCTGGAGCGGCACCGGACACGTGGTCAAACAGTGAGACACTGTCCCGACTGTCGCTCAGTAGGTACAGTTGCAGATCGTCGTGCCACGTGTCAAATGCTACAGGTCTACCCTCCGGGTCGAACGGGAGAACTCGAAGCGACGCCATAGGGGCCGAGGAGCCTGGGGGCAGCGGGGCCAAACAAGGGGCCGGGGGGCCTAGGGGAGCCGAGAGGCCTAGGGGGGGGGGCGAGGGGCCAAACAAAAGGCCAGGGGGCCGGGCGCCGGGCTCTGAGGTGGGGCCTAGGGGCCAAACAAGGGGCCGGGGGGGGGCCTAGGGGGGCCGAGGGGCCTAGGGGGCCGAGGGGCCAAACAAGGGGCCGGGGGGCCGGGCGCCGGTCTCTAAGGTGGGGCCGAGTGGCCTAGGGGCCGCTGGGCCAAACAAGGGGCCGGGGGGGCCTAAAGGGGGGCCGAGGGGCCTAGGGGGCCGAGGGGCCAAACAAGGGGCCGGGGGGCCGGGCGCCGGTCTCTGAGGCGGGGCCGAGGGGCCTAGGGGCCGCGGGGCCAAACAAGGGGCCGAGGGGCCTAGGGGGGGCCGAGGGGCCTAGGGGGCCGAGGGGCCAAACAAGGGGCCGAGGGGCCTAGGGGGGCCGAGGGGCCTAGGGGGCCGAGGGGCCAAACAAGGGGCCGGGGGGGGCCGGGCGCCAGTCTCTGAGGTGGGGCCGAGGGGCCTAGGTGCCGCGGGGCCAAACAAGGGGCCTAGGGGGCCGAGGGGCCAAAGGAGGTACAGGGCCGGGCGCTGGGCAGGTACAGGGCCGGGCGCTGGGCAGGTACGGGGCCGGGCGCTGGGCAGGCCGGGCGCTGGGCAGGTACGGGGCCGGGCACTGGGCAGGTACGGGGCCGGGCGCTGGGCTGGTACGGGGCCGGGCGCCGGTCTCTGAGGTGGGGCCGAGGGGGCCTAGGGGCCTCGGGGCCAAACAAGGGGCCGGGGGGGCCTAGGGGGGCCGAGGAGCCTAGGGGGCCGAGGGGCCAAACAAGGGGCCGGGGGGCCGGGCGCCGGTCTCTGGGGTGGGGCCGAGGGGCCTAGGGGCCGCGGGGCCAAACAAGGGGCCGAGGAGCCTAGGGGGGGGGCCGAGGGGCCTAGGGGGCCGAGGGGCCAAACAAGGGGCCGAGGGGCCTAGGGGGGGCCGAGGGGCCTAGGGGGCCGAGGGGCCAAACAAGGGGCCGGGGGGCCGAGGGGCCAAAGCAGGTACAGGGCCTGGCGCTGGGTAGGTACAGGGCCTGGCGCTGGGCAGGTACAGGGCCGGGCTCTGGGCA